CAGACGATCTGAAGTGTCTCCTTGTAAACTCTTATACTAGGCATCTGCCAACCTTTGCTGCATGGCTTGTTCTCTCCTCAACTTTTTATCTTCTCCAAAGATACAAATGGGTCAACAGGATCGTCCCCAAGAAGGCTTCGTGTTGCTCTTGCCCTCCAGCATCTGTAGAGGGAAGTGTGAAAGATTAAGTAGCAGGCTTCAAGTGGTTAAAAAAGAAAATTAAAGTTTTCTTGTTTTCTCTTCTGGGTTGTTTGCTCTCTTGAGTGGTCTGGTCAGGAAATGGCCCTGTAGCTAAGTGGGTTTTTGAGGTTAGTTATTTCACGATTCTTCTATACCTTTTGGTTTTACAATGGAACGGACGCCTCAGAACGGCTGCTTGTTTATTTTTAAAAAACGGCAGTTGTGCTAAGACTTTGTTTTCAGATCCTTAGATTTGGGATAAAAGAACTCTGGATGTCATCTAACCACTTTTTTCCCTTTTGTATCTCATCTCCCTCTCCACCTCCTCCGTCCCCAAGAAGAGACCTTAAAGCTGAGATTCCTGTAATATATGGGTATGAGGAAGGTTGATTTGAATTTTATGAGCATCTTTAATGAATAGATATCTGGTTGTGATGCAAGGGTGGACATTCTAAAGGGTCAAAGAGATGCTGAAATTGTGAAGTTCTCATTTGTTCGTAGTTAGAGGATTATTTCCTTGAAGGGTTACCTTTTGCTACATGGCAAATAAGCAAGTTAGTTTGGACTGCTTTTGTTTTTATCACTAACTCCATTTGTTTCTTTAGTTCTGAAAGGCTTCACTAACTGGCTTAGTATGTTTTACCACCATGTTCTTGGCTTATTTACCATTGTATATCCAGCCCCTAACACAGTGTTTAGTATCAGTGAGTACTTACTACAGTTGCTGAATGAATTAATAGTTGTGTGTGTGTGGGGTGTTTACTTTAAAAAGTGGCATAACAACAGGACCAGTAATGGGAGTAGTGATAACATGAGGGGAAGAAGGGGTAGAAATGGAGAAACAATTACAATCATCAAAGTGTAACCACCACCCCCGCCCCCCACCCCAGGGGGACAAACAACAGAAACATGGGTGAAGGGAGACAGCAGATGGTGTAAAATAGGAAAATAACAATAATAATTTATAATTTATCAAGGGCTCACGAGGGTGGGAGGGTGAGGGAGGTAGGGGAAAAAGAAGAGTTGATATCAAGGGCTCAAGTAGACAGAAAATGTTTTGAAAATGATGATGGCAACATACGTACGACAACTGAAGTATGGATTATTATAAGAGCTATAAGAACCATAACAAAAGTAATTAATTAATTAATTAGTTAAAAGTGGCATAATAAAAAATACATAAATAAACATCCTTAATCCCAGTGAACGCACACAAGTGATGTCTTGGGGAACATCTTTTAGTTTCTGCTTAACTATGTGTACATTTTTACATGATTACAGTTAGTTGTGAACTTCAAGTTTGGTACTTCTTAAAATGTAAACCTTTCTTCTATTTAATATATTTTAAATAACCAAATCAAACTTTGGGTTCTGTACTGCAACGAGAAACTCTCCCTTAAGTCTAACTCACTGCCATTGAATTGATCGCAACACATAGCAACCCGCTCTCTGGTTTCCAAGACTGTAAATCTTTATGGGAGCACATCGCTTCATCTTTCTCCTCAAGAGCAACTGGTGGATCTGAACTACTGACCTGTGGTTAGCAGCCCAGTGCCTTCCTTTCTTTGACTCTAGATGGCATTAATTTGAGAACTACCATTCTATTTTGAGAGCTACAATTCTATTTTCCTAACAAATACTTCAGATGCATTATGGTTTGTTTTCATTTACATGAAGTGCTAATTGACATTTTTTATTTGAATATTGCCTTTAAGTTGCTATAACCAAGATATGTCAATGTCTTTTCCTTTTCCTATTGTACATCTCAAAAAAAAAGGAATCATGATTTGTTCAATGGTTATTGTTGTTAGATGTTGTCTAGCTGGTTCCAACCCACGGAGACCCTGTATATAACAGACCAGAGCACTGCTCGGCCCTGCACCATCCTTACAACGTTTGAGCCCAGTGCGGCAGCCACTGTGTCAAGCCATGTCATTGAGAGCCTTCGCTGTCCCTCACTTTACCGAGCATGTTGTCTTTCTCCAGGGACAGGCCTCTCCTGGAAACATGTTCAAAGTACTTGAGACCAAGTGTTGTCATTCTTGTCTCTAAGGGGTATTCTAGTTGTACTTCTTCCAGGCAGATCTGATTGTTCGTACTTTCAATAGTCTTCGCCAGCATCATAGTTCAAATGCATCAATTCTTCTTTGATCTTCCTTATTCAATGTCCAACTTTCACGTGAATATGAGGCTATTGAAAATACTGTGGGTTGGGTCTGGCACACCTTAAACCTCACAGTAACATCCTTGCTTTCCAACATTTTAAAGAGGTCTTGTGCAGAAGATTTATTTAATGCAATGTGTCATTTGTTTTTGTTTTTCTTAATGGGGGCGCAAATAATATTGAAAAACAGAAAGGATTAGTAATATCTTAAATAAGGAAGTCCTAACAACACATTTCCCAGTTTTCTCCAGCATTATTTACAACTTATGGTAGCAGTAGTCAAGAAATCAAAAGACCTATTACTTCAAGCAAATTTGATGAAAAAGACCTCTTTAAAATGTTCCTCTAGTTCTTTAATCCTTCCCCCACCCCACTATCATGACCTCAATTCTACCTTACAAATTGGATTAGACCAGAACGTGCACACTGCTACAGATAAGAGCCCACAACACAGGGAATCCAGGATAGATAAACCCCTCAGGACCAACAATGAGAACAGAGAAACCAGGAGGATAAGGGGAAGGTGGGGGGAGAAAGGGGGAAGCAATAACAAGGATCAACATATAACCCCCTCCCAGGGGGACAAACAACAGAATAGTGGGTGAAGGGTGACAGAGGACGATATAAGATATGAAAATAATAATCTATAACTTTATCAAGTGTTCATGAGGGAGGGAGGGGGAAAACGAGGAGCTGATACCAAGGGCTCAAGTAGAAAAAAAATGCTTTGGAAATGATGATGGAAACATATGTACAAATGTGCTTGATACAATGGATGAATGTATGGATTGTCATAAGAGATGTAAGAGCCCCCAGTGAAAGTATTTAATTAAAAAAAATGTTAAAGAGCAAAAATGTCACTTTGAGAACTAAGGTGCCCCTGAATCAAGTCATAGTATTCTCAGTTTCCACATGTGCATGAAAAAACTGGACAATGAATAAGGAAGTTGGGAGAATTCATGCATTTGTAGGATGGTGTTAGTGAAGAATACTGACATTATCAAGTGGATGATGTGTTGGACTGCTAACCACAAGGTCAGCAGTTTGAAACCACTCGTTGCTCTGCAGGAGGACAATGAGGCTATCTACTCCTGTAAAGATTTACAGACCCAGAAACTCAGTGGCAGTTGTACTGTCTTACAGGGTCGCTATGGGTCAGAACTGACTCAATGGCAGTGAGGATAAGATGAATAAACAAATCAGTCTTAAAAGACGTACAGTCAGAATGCTTCTTAGGTATGAGGATGGCAAGACGCAGTCTCATGTACTTTGGATGTATTATCAGGAGGGACTCGTTTCTGGAAAAGGACATCAGATTTAGTAAAAGTAGAGGGTCAGCAACCAAGAGGCAATTCCCCCGTGAGGTGGATTGATACAGGGTCTGCAAAATGAGATCAAACATAGCAATTGGGAGGATGGTGCAGGACCAGCCAGTGTTTCACTGGGCTGCGCACAGGTTCCTGAGTGGGAATAGATTTGCCTGCACCAAAGAGAAACTTCTGCCCTCCCACATAGGTGGTTTGGGGTGTTCTCACACCGAGTAAGACACTCTTGGACAGATTTGTACCCTTTGAGGAAAGACTTGTGTAAACTGAGAGCTGCAAGCGTTTTCTGGAACATGCACAGTGCAGCTTCCTGAAACAGAGATCTGTTTTTCCAAACCATTGGCTGCAGGGTAGACAGGTCTTCTCTGGAAACAGGGTTTCCATTCTGACAGTTAAGCTGCTACCAGACGGTGGCTGTTTTTACTTTCTATTTCCTCAGAGTTTACCAGCCTTAGACATGGGGGCTCAGGTGCCATGGGCCTGGCCAGGTGCTCCTGCGGGGACCTACTCTGCTCCAGGTTCTGGACTCCCACTCTGGACATCCAACTGAAGCTCCAAACGCTACTATGGTATGGGAAGGTTCTAGAAACCACACTTCCCGTAATGGGGTCAGCAGTTCCCCTGACCTGAGAGAAGCATCAACTGTCAGAAGCAGCTGACTTTGCTTCATCCTAAGGGAAGTGTGAGGTCTATATGGGAGACTTGCAACTAAAGACTTGCCATTCAAACGCCCTCGCTGATGAGCCGAAGTTTGCTACTGATCAGACTGGCAGGGAAGATTTGGGAAAAGGCTCTCACCAAAGTCAAGCCACTGCAAACCGTGCCTGGTGTTTATTTCTGGGCCTAAGTGAATGTTGCAGAGTTCATTGGGAAGTTGAGGAAACAAAAGGTATGAAGAGGGCTCTTGTGTCCACTGGCATCATGGGGAGAGATAGGGTTCCTTCATGAGACCTGTAATTCTGCTTTGTTCTCTAGGAAGCCAGGGGAGAGGTGGATTTTACATAAATATAGGGTGGAACCGCTTAGAGCTAAAGCAGACCACACGTTCTGTTCTGGTTAGCCTCTTGTTAAAGACTTGAATTGTAACCAGGTTTCTTTGTTGAAAACGAAGGCGCTAGGGCCCGGCAGCGAGATGATGGCTTTGTTGTGTGACCACAGAGGCAGGTTACGCACTAATTTCCTCTAGTGCTTGTGATGAAGTCAGTAAACCACAGCCTTCAGCATGTTCTGCTCAGGCGGCGGCAGTGGCTTCTCAGTGGCGTCTCAGCCATGACACACATTTGACATGTCCTCTCTCAAATCCTCAGGGATTGTCTCTCTTGCTCTGCAGCATGGACCAACGGGAAATTCTGCAGAAGTTCCTGCACGAGGCCCAGAACAAGAAGATTAAGAAAGAGGAGTTTGCCAATGAATTTCTGGTGAGTCGATGTGTCCCACTCTCAGGGTAGTTACATAGACTCTTTCACTGATCTGGGGGGTGGGGGGGGGGTCTGCATCTCCTACACCGGATTGCTCTGGATAGAAATGACCATGAGACCTCGGAGGGAGGAGGAGGGGACGGAGGCACCCTGAAAGTTCCACTCCTTTGAGTGCTTTTTATGTACATTAGGTATTTGCTCCACAGGACTGCCTATGACATTTTGTCGGCTCTATCTTGGAACTTAACCAGAGAGCTTATAGGAGACATACACAGTTCCAGTCATATAAATACTAATACCAATTGAACATGCAGCGTTCCCTCGGGGATCTGAGTTGTGACGAATGCTCTAAATGACTACTTTTATTATATAATGAGAGGAAAGTGCCCAAGACTAACATTTTATGGCTCAATGAACATTTTTAACCTCACTCCGAGATTCCATTTGGATGCCATCGAGTTTTTAAAAACAACAACACCAAAATGACCTGTGTTGATTTGGGTGAAGAAACAAGTATTACCCCATGTGTTTTTGCAGTAGCCGAAGTCCCCCGGCCGTCCTTTGCTTGGCCATGTGAAAGGCTGGGGTGAGGAGTAAGAAGAAGGTCTGGCGTCCACTGGAGTTGATTATCCAGAGGAGAATTGCCTCTCCTCTGTGGGAACTGTGGTTACCGATGCCGAATCAGCCGGATCGGCCTTTCGGCTCCCCTAACCGGGACCATCAGGTCACATAGGGTATCTGACAGTCCCTATCACGGATTTTGGACTCCTTTCCGGATAGGGTTTGAGAGATGTACAATCGGGACGTTTCACACCTTAACCCTTCAGCGGTGAAGAAAGTAGGCAAAAAAGCCCAGGGGACTGACAGATAAAACCTAGAATGAAATCATGATTCGGTTGCCAACAGTTTTACACGTTCCTTAATCTCCCCAAGCCCCTGTGTCCTATTTTATAAAATGGGCTGATAGTTGACGCACTCCCTGCCCTCACAGGACTGTCGCCACGTTGCACTGAAAGACCAAGAGTCATGAGACATGGCCACTGAGTCAGCCTTCTTGATGGAGCCCCTGCTGTGTGCCAGGCGCTGTGCTAGGCCCTGTGGATACAGTGGTCAACACAATCACCAAAGAGCCATGTCTTCATGGAGATGGCTTTCTGGTCCACACGAGCCCTGTGAAGCCTGGCGCGGTTAGCGATTGTGATTGAGTGATTAAATATGATGATAGGGAACAGTTATACTCAGATAACACCAGGGCTCCTGGATTTCATGGGGTGCGCTGGTGGGTGTGGGGGTGCTCTCAGTACCACTGCCTGAACTTTTCTGGGTTCCCAGAGCACGAGGGAATTGCGGTGTCCGAGCCCATGTGTCTCTTTAGGCACGTGCCTGCCCTTGGTCATTAATTCCTAAGCCAAACTCTCCCAAGGCATAGAGGGAAAGCAAAGAGGGAGTTTGGGGTGGGTGGATGCTTTTTGAAAACGATGTAACTGATCTCCCTAATTTTTTACCTTTTCTTATCTCAGGCCATTGTCATCTCTCCCCCAAATTGTGGCAGTCACCTCCTACTTGGTTCCTCTGCCTCTAGCCTGGTCCCACCTTTCTACCCATTTTCCATTCAGCATTCAAGCTATCCTGTAATAATGCAAATCTGACCTTTTTCCCTGCTGAAAGCCTTCTATGCTTTGTCTGTTTCTTTTCCTCTTTTCTGCTAACAATCGTGAAATAGAACACAATTAGGAAAGTAGATCAATCCAGGGCAGTATATTTACGAATTATAAAGCAAACCCCAGTAAAGCTACCCCAAATCAAGAACTAGAAGATGGTCAGACCCTAGACACCCCTCTCTGTCCCTCTTCTGTCAGGCCCCAGACCCCCACCCTGTCCTGCCCAAGGGTGATCACCAGGCTGACTTGAAAATTAATCATTTCCTTGCTTTTCTAGCTCCTGATTTGAAGGAGCTTGTTGTTGGGTGGTGATTAAGTGGAATCTCACTGTTCACTGTTCATTGACTCACGTCCTCCAGTGGAAAAACAGTCCTGCTCTTAGCCCACCTCAGGTTCATCTGAGATACCAGAGGGTGTGGTTTTAGGGGAGTGGAGGTGGCGGGGAGCTGGATGGGGGCTAGGTTGCTTGCTTGAGCAAAGTAAATACTGCCATTAAATTAGTGAGTTTCACAACTCATCACATTCCACACACACCCCTTAACCCCCCAATATGCAGTCATGCATCACGTAACTCCACAGTATGGTCGGTGAAACAGGGTGCTGATTTGAACACCATGTAAACGCCATACAATGTTGCAGTTCAGAAGGAGGCTGGCTTCTACGATTTAGGTGAATTCCTAAATCTGCTCTTCAGCTCAGTTTAGGCATAAATGAGAACCGTTTGGAACGGTTCACAGCCCGCGTCAGTTGGTCAAAGGTTTGTAGAATGTACCTATGTACGCATTTAAAAAATTAAACACTTCCAGAGACCCTAAAACTTCAATGCAGGAATAATATTTTGATGAATGTTGCAAAGTAGTGCCCCTTTGTGATTGTAAGCTTTTGCGTGTATTTTGAATTTTCAATAGAATAAATAGGCATTATGGGAGTTGGACATGGACGTACATGCGTGTGGCTGGATATTGCTCGGACGGAAGGCATGTGGCGCATGACTGTATTCTCTTGGTGTCTGATGCCTCTGGGGTTTGTGAACTGATTCTGCGGCACATTGCCAGATGGCAATTCTGCTTTCGTAGAGAGGCCTTGCCCCCTCTGGCATTCTCTGGCCTGTCACCACTTAGATTCCAGTCCCCATTGCCCCCTGGTCCCCCCGGTCTGGTATCTCTGTTCAAACAGAGAACACTAACCACAATTAGACCTGGCAGCCCCGTGTGACCGCTGGAGCCAATACCAGGCGTAGGTTTTCTTCTTGCGCTGTGACTAAATTTCATTGCTTTAACTGAGCTGTCACTGCACGGTTTCCACGCGTTCGTTCACATATGTTCCCTGCTTCGCGGAGCACCACCTCGAATTAGAGAGGCAGCACTAAACAACTAAATGCCCACTTATCTAATCACAATTGTGATCATCTTGATAGGGGTGTCAAGGAAGCATCACGTTCCCATAAGGTAACCACAGCTGTTATCAATCTGTGACTTACTGAGGAGGAAACAGGCCCTGAGAGCGAATTGGGCTACACTTGTTCAGCTGTGGAACAGAAGCGTTGCCATTTAAGCCAGATTTGGGTCATCTCGAGCCGTGAAATAATCCTTATGCAGCAGTGATTTACTCCAGTCAATAATAGGGAGTCCCTCAAAGCCTGAGGCAAACCCCCATTGGTGTAGTTTTACCCAGCCCCAAACAATGGTATGTGACCATATTATTGAAAATTCCTTAAAAGTACTTTTTAAAAAGTCCTTATTGTATTATTCTTATGAAGCAATATTCTTATAGGGTTAAAAAAATACCAACAGTCCGAAAAACAAATTTTACTTTGTGGATCTTCTCATTTGTATCCATTTATATAATATTTTCATATGACTGTAATTGAGGGTATGTATATAATGTTATATTCAAATCTTTTCACTTAGCATTATACCAACATGATTTATCATGTTGATTCAAAATATTTATGATCTCTAGTGACTAATGAACTCTGGTAGCATAACAGTTAAGTGCTTGGCTACTAACTAAAAGGTTGGCAGTTCAATCCCACCTAGAGGCTGGTGGAAGACCTAGCGATATGCTCCCTAAAATACCATGGGAGTCAGTTCTACTCCTTCACATGGAATCTCACTTGCCAGCAGGCACCTAACAACGACAATGATGCAACATGGCATAATGAAAAAATAATCATCGATAATAGCCAATACTTCTGTTGCTATTACTGTGTGTTAGATGCTACTCTATGCACTTTTATATTTCAATTTACTTAACATTGAGAAAGGTACTATTATTATATGAATTTTATAGTCCATGAAACAGAAGCACAGAAAGGTTAATTGACTTGCTCAGGGTCACCCCGATAGCAGTATAAACTGAGTTTTGAACTCAGACTTGTTGATTATGTATAATGACATTGGGATTACCAGTAAATCTAGGTTAAATTTAAGTTCTGCCTATGATTTGTGACTTGAATAAAGTCATGGGAAAGTGGGAACAAATATTCATTTTGCAGAATTGCAGCGAAGAGACGAGAATCCGTGTATAAAATGCCTGACAGAGTGCAGGCACCAGTTAACGTCATCATTTCAATACTGGTGGACTTTTAGGCTGTTTCTAGTTTTTCTTGATAATTAACAACACTACAGTGGATGTTTGTTCATGTGGCTTTTCAGATCTTTTGGGTTTCTTAATGGGGAGGTAAGACCCTGATTTAGATATATTTTTATAGCGATCCATATAGTAAGGCTTACGCAGAACAAAGACAAGATATGGACAGATGTGAGTCATCTGAATGAGGGTGACCATCAGCAGGAGGCCATCAGGGTGTCCGGATGATTTACAGTCACGTGCCTAAGTACACAGAAACTGGACAACAAGTGACATTCATCACAAAATCATGAGTGGCAATAGATGGGTTGATTCATCACCATCCCACATAGCAGAAAAGGGTCAATGATGGCTACGCACACTATTGCAAATTTAAAAAGGATTATGACTAATGGACCCTGGTACTCCAATTTCCATGAAAGACCAGCTCAGGCAATTGCCCTAGGGCAAGCCTTCCCCTCCCTAGGGGCAAACTTTCTACATTGTTGATTAAAAGTCAGAAAGAACTCAATGGGGGCTGAATTTACGCACAGACTCCAAATGGATCTAGGGTTCCTACTGTAAACGGCAAATGAGCCCTTGCGGGGTAGGAGGGGTGGATTATGACTTGGGTTGCTAACCGCCAGGTCAGCGGTTTGAAACCACCAACGGCTGGCCTGGAGAAAGATGAGGCCCACAGGGACAGTTCTACCCTGACCTGTGGGGTCACCATGAGTCGGAATTAGCTCAATGGCAGTGAGTTTGGTT